AATATATAAGATTTTAAAAAAACATAAAAAGCATTAAAAAAAAATCGTAATAATATATTAAAAACCGGTATTTAGTATAAGATTAAAAATAGAAATATTACAATTAAAAATATCAATATTAGGAAACATTTGAACTAGATTATTATAAGAAAGTGCAACATGACGAAAAATACTATTAGTACAAACATTAACACTAACATTAACTTTTAACAAATGATTGGTACGAAGCCTACGCACAGGAACATGAAAATAAAAATTTGACACAAGGTTACAATCAAACTTACAGTTTAAACATTTAAATAGAAAAATAAGATCGTTTCGTTTTCGTCTAGTCGATGGTAAAAATTTTTCGCAACTAATCGAACCGGCAGCTGGGCCAATGAACTTCATGAATTTGTTATGAATCCTGTCTATTCTAATAGAATGAGTATGAGATATTGAGTTGTAGATAACTGAACAGAAATCAAGGGATGGAGTAATTATTGATGTCTATAGAGTAAATTTGCTGATGGTGTAAGAAGTTTGCAATTTCTCCACATTAATTCAAGCAGCCAGTTTGCTTTTACAGAAGAGAAAGAAAATGTAGTAAAGACTAAATTTACTCAAGTGCATTTTGGCCGTAAATCAATGAATGGTGGTACATTACTAGTGCTCTGCCTTTTGGTTTGCAATTCATTGTTGTGCACTTAACGTATTATAGTTTGGCATACATAACAAAGGAGAATATCATGTTTGTTTCTTTAAGTTATCAATCAGTAATGTTAATCTGATTCAGGGCTCTAACCGTTCCTTTACTTTCAGCTCATCAAGGCTTCATAATGTTCAGAGCTTGTTACGAAAACCAAATGATGTTGAGGATTATCGTCCAGATGCTGTGCTATGCATTATGGGAATTGATAGCAGGTGAGATTTTATAAAGGGACTAATAATTTGATTAGGCAAGATAACATGATTTTGCTCTCAAAGTTTATTTTTCCTACACTTGCATAGTAACACAAGATTTATGATTGCTCTTTAATATACTGCACATTTTTGTTCACAACATTTTCTCTTCTCCGTAAGGTATAATGATGGCTGTAGAGAGTTGATAAACTACCTTCTCTTCGGGTTTTTTGATGTACGCAAGTCACAAATTGAGAGGTAGGTTCCTAAAAAATTGATTTTTTTCAAGTATTTTTGGTGTACCATTTGCAGGCCTTTTATTAGAAGGCGGCAAGCAGCGAATTCCACCGCTTATTTCACACTAGGTGCCGCTTACTTTTTTCCTGGCTAATTTTTTTTGTACCATTTACTACATTATCTTGACCTAATTACCCGAAGAAATAACTGTAAATACCAGCAGTAGAGGCCTACAACACGAAGTATGAAATACTTAAAGTATAATACGTGAAGTGTACAGTTTCTACGTTGTCGTTGGTGGTGCTTTATAACATTGTACTATATAAACGGCTAGGAAAAGATACCGTAAGAGGATTTCAAGCTTAACCGGTTGCCTGGTTTACAGTATTGTTTTGCCTGCATTGTGTGTGAAACAATATAAACCCATCATGGCATATGGCGGTGGTAGGAGGAGGATGAATTTTTATCGCCTCCCTCTGGAGGGACAAACTTCCTAGGGCTCAGGCCCTACTTTTCAGTCTGGAATATAGGCCTAGGGAAGGGGCCTAGTAGTAGTATTACAGTAAGTAGTAGTACAGTAGTAGTAGGGCCTATCTACACCTGACCTGGCTGGCTAACCATGAGCTAGACTCTAGCCTGGAAATTAATATAATATACTATAGAATTATATACCTCATATAGATACTAGGCATCTGATTAGTTAAGAAGCAGGGCAATAGAAAGTACTATTTCCTTCAAAAAGTACTATTCCCCTCAAAAATAGTACTTTTTTGACCTGTTGCGATGTGCAAACTCTAGGCCCACTACATCGCGCTGCTGACGGTAAAGGGGACTACGACCTCTATGACGAGATTATCCCCTGACCGCGTCACATGTCAGCGAGTAGATGATAAATAATATGGAGGCTGCTCGTTTCGAGGTGAAGGAGGAATAGCCTAGGCCTAGCATTACTTCTGAAGCCAATAGCAAAGCACCAAAAAACATATTTAAATATGTCTTATCGATATTCGACAAATATATTGCAAGACTATGGGTGCTGTTTAAATTGAGGAAATAAGCAAACGAGAACTAGACACTCTTTGATCGCCTAGGCCTAGCTATTCGAGTAGTAGTAGTAGGCTTAGGCCTAGTATGCCTCTAAAGGCCGGTTCCCACTAAACTTGTCAAGCGAAAGCGTTGAGTGTCACACGGCAAGCGAAGCGAATCGCCCAAAGTTCAGAAGAGTTGACTTTCGGTAAAGAATGTCACACTTCCAATTATCCACTTGCCTGTTCCCACTGCGCACGAAAACTCAAAATGGCGTGTGGCAATTGAGAAAAGCGATAATGAAACTGATTATGTTATTGCATTGATAGATGGAGGAAAGGGCTGTGAGATGAAATCTGATAAAATCCTCAGGATTAACATTCCCGGAACTCCAAAAGAGTGAATATAAACATATTTTTTTTTTTTTTTTGTCAATACATATTCAAGGCCTAGGCCTAGAGCTAGGCCTCCTAAGAGTTGATATAATGGGCCTAGCTTTTATAGCCTACCCTACTGTTGGTCTCAGGTAGTAATCTGCAGTGATTCAGAGATATGCCTAAGCTGGACAGGCCAATATACAGAGATCCCAATTCTCCCGAGAATTGCGGGTTTCTCCCGATTTTT